AAAAAGTGGCCAGGTGCAGTGGCTCACGTCTGTAATCCCAGCACTTTGGGAGGCCAAGGTGGGTGGATCACCTGAGGTAGTGAGCTGAGAATGCGCCATTGCACTCTAGCCTGGACAACAAGAGTGAAACTCTGTCTGAAAAAAAAAAAGTTACAAGTTTGAGGAGTATTTAATGAAACGGGAAAATGTTCATGTTACAAAGCCAAATGATATTTATGTACTTATAATTTACAATTTATTTACATGTCTGTTTCACCATTAGAACAAGTTAATTGAAAGAAGTACATATTGCCTCTTGTAACCTCAGTATCATGCCTGGTACACAGACGTTGACTGAAAAAAAAAGGATGCATTCTGGTATGTTAGTGGAACAAAAGATTGACTCTAGTATAACTCTACTCACCTTACAAGTGGGAAAACTGAGGCCTAGGTAAGCTGAGGGCCCATGTTGGGTCAGTAATGGGACAAAATAACAGCAGGGCTGAGTTTAGAACCCCGTTCTCTCACTGCCCAGTATGGTATTCTTTCCCATCACACTGTCCCAATGCACACTGCTACCATCTTTCTGTGCCTCCAGGGCTATAATTTATACCCCAGGTCTCCAGCCCAACTCTGCCACTTTCCATTCTTTTACCTGCTTAAAGTATACAATTCAATGGTTTTTAGTATATTTACAGAGTTGTGCAATCATTATAATCTACTTTTAGAATATTTTCATCATCCCCAAAAGATACCTTGTACCTCTTAGTTCTGTTACTCCTCATTCTGCCACCCCTCAGTCCCTGGGAAACACTAATCTTTGTCTCTATGGATTTGCCATTTCTGGACATTCTTCATTCTTTTTATGCTTGTGCTGCTTCCTTGAATTCCCAGGTCTAGCTTAAGTATGATCATTTCAGCATCCCCTTTTTCCTGGATGCACTGCCAGTTTCTGTCAGAACTGCCCCACAGGACCAAGCCTTTCAGTCTGGTTTTTGGAAGTCTAAAAGCATATTATGTATGCTAGTGAGTAACAGCATGAATATTATCTCTGACAACCTGTCATTTCCCATGAAGAAAGACATACCAACTTCATTGGGGGAGGTAAGAGAGAGGGAAGGTTCCTTCCTGGGTGGCTATTCTGTTCTAGCTGTCAATCTGGTAATGAATTAGAATTCAGGAACAATACTATGCTACTGGCCTACATGGATAAACACTGTTGAGAAACAGAAAATGTTCAACTCCAGAAACTTTGGTCA